GCTGCAGGTCCACAGCACCAGGCACATAGGAGTCGGTGCCCAGGACGTGTGTGGGACCAGTGAAGGACCAGGGCGTGGTGGCTGAAACATGCCAGAGTGTCCCCCACTCTGCAGATGGTCTCCAAGCCCAATCAATCCTGGTGGCACGGGCACAGCAATGACGGGCAGACCCTGGGCCTGGCACAGGCTGACTGCCACGCAGGCCTCGCCAGCCGCCGTGATGGCCCTGAGACAGGGCCCACTCCCGTCTCCTGTGATCGGGCAGCAGCCCGCTGTCCTCGCTGGATGGAAGGCAGGGCAGACGAGGGCAACAGGGACCCAAACTGGGAGCATCTCCACTTGCTTCTGTCGCATCTTAGGGGAGCCAGCCATTGGTCCCCATCACCCAGGGCACAGACGGGGCCCCGCCTCTGCCACTCCTGCCCGATCTGGAGCAGCCGACCTGGCGTGTGCCCTTGGAGGGGTCTTCCCGGGCCAAATTTAGGCCCTTACCCCTCGTGAATGACTAAACTGGCCAAAAATGAGAGACCTCGGGAATCCGTGTTTTCCTGTAAGCTGACGGAAGTGTACGGATGGCCCGCTCTCAACATCAAAATGCTTTACTCCAAATCCATGCCGCCGTGCGCGGCGCAGGGACAGGAAAGTCAGCGGAGGAAAGAGCATCAGAACCGACGCCGAGAGCCCGAACATCGCGACAAGTAACCTGGAAAGTGAGTTCCAAGAAGGCTGGCTTCGGGCTGTCCTGAGGGGTGCTTCCACCAGACGCTGGGCAATCTTTTTAAGGGGCACTTTTGGATGTGCCTTTGAGAGTTCAGTAAATCTGTCCACAAGGCGGTACCCCCAAGCAGAACAGACCCCAACTCGCAGCCCGATCATGACAACTTGGAGTGACTGTGGGCAGGAGAGGCCTGGGGGTGGGCACAGCCCAGCGGGGGGGTCAGGGAGACTGTGGCCTGTGATCACGTTCCAGGGGTTCCCCTCTGTCCCTGCGCAGAGACCCTACAGGCATTTCAGAGCCTATGGGTGGAGAGAGGGAGGGAAAACCTCGGGGCCCAGAGGCTGTCTGAACAACCTCCGCTGAACACTAGGGACTGGAGACACACGTCCTGAAACGTCCACTCCGGTCTGTCAGCAGGAGCCCAGCTTCGCTCCAAGCAGGCCGTCGCTGTGGAAGCCCAAGGGACACGGGCAGTGGGTAGGGCCGAGCGGCCATGTCCCCACAGAGAAGGCTCCCTTTGGGGAGGCCACACACATGCTCCATCACAGACTCCTCCTTTATAGCTTCAGCCGAGCTCATACCCCACAGCGACCCTGCAGGAGGGCAGGCCGGGCAGGGGCAAGGAGAGGCAGAGACGGCAGCCAGGTTTCAGCTCCCCAGTCCTCCAGCTGGCCAAAAGGTGAGGTCAAAGTGGCAGAAGCCCCTGCTCGGCCCTGCCCACCGGAAACCCCTGGCAACGGAGAGGCAAAGGGTCCCTTCTCAAGACCCCCAAAGTGCTCGGGTTCCAAAGCTTACCGAGCCCTAAGGATAGGTCGGGCCCAGCAGGGAGTTAAAGGCACAGAGGAGCAATTCGGAGAAGCTGCTGCCTTCACAGTCCACCAGGGGGGACAGAAGAGCCCGCAGACCTGTCCACAGAGTTGCTGTGTGCCAGCTACCAAGCAGGGACGCTCCAAGGCTACATCTGGCTGAGGCAGGCTGCCACCAGCCGAGGGGCCAGGGGCTCTCTAGGTTCACTCCAGGTACAGCGACCAGACTCTCACCTGGAGCAGAAAAAATTGGGTGTCGGGTTAAGAATTCGATCGAAGAGCGAGACAGACCTGATGAAAGTCTGTCAGCTGTGTGACCTTGGGCACGCTCCGTAAGCCACCCAGCTGTACCACGGAGTGGAATCCCTGCGTCTGCCCAAAGGGTCGCGGTAGGGGATAAAGCAGCTCATCCATTCACCCCACAAATATTTACTGAAGTTCCCGCTCTGTGCCCAACCCTGTGCTCGGCGCCAGAGACACCAGGAGCAAAGCAGTCGGAGGCCCGGCCCACAGACAGAAAGCCAGTGCACAAGTGTACACGTGTTCAAGGATGGTTAGTTCGAGATTAGTGCTTGGGAAGGAGAAACAGGTCAGCCGGGTGAGGTGTTGGGAGTGCTGGGGGGAAGACTGCAGTAGCAGAATGGTGTCCCTGGGCCTCAACGAGGAACGTGATGCAGTCCGTGATCCAGGCAGGAGCAGCCCAGGAAGGTGATAGAGCTGGTGCAAAGGCCCCGGGGTGGGGGCACACCTGCTGTCCGGCACTGCAGGAAGGAGGTCAGGGCGTCCAGGGGAGTGTAGACAGGGAAAGGACAGAAAACACAGATGAGGACAGAGCGGGTGGAGGGGAAAGCAGAGGGGTGGACCTTGGCCGCCACTGCAAGGCCACTGGTGTTTGTCCTGAGTGGAAAGGAGCCTCTGCAGGGTTCTGAGTGGAGGAAGAGGGATCTGACTTCGGTGCCACAAGTCCTGCTCAGTGTTCATGCTGAGAACACACACATGAAGAGTGTGTACCTGCGCCTGGTACACGGAAAGCACACAAAGAGGTATACTTATTATTCTTCCTCATAGTATCACCAACTCACGCAGCGGGCGAGAAACACCTTACCCTACAGGACGGTTCAAGTTGAGATTTGCAGGCCTTAAAGGTGTGATTCCCTCGAGAGCAGGAGCCCCCCTCTGCACCCCTGTCACTGTCCACCTACCCAGCTCAGGACAGGAGGCCACAGCGGGCCAGACCTTGCCATCAGAGCCTGCTTCCCTAGAACCCCGAGGGCTGGATTCTAGGGAGCACAGTACAAGTCTGCCCCCTCCCTTCGGAAGCTGAGGACAGCAGCAGAGCGGGGTCTCAGGCACAACCACGGCAGCTCCTGAAGGAAGGTGGGGTCTCTAAAGGGCAGTTCCTGGCCAAAGGGGATGGAATGAAACAGAGCAGCTGGCCTCCTGGGGCCCCTGGAGAGGAGCCACCGGCGAGGAGGAAGGCCCTAGATGCTCCTCCCGGTCCTGGCCTGAGACCTGGGCCAAGGAAGACTCGTGGAGGACCTGAGGGGTGGGAATGACTGCTTGGCCAAGGACGAGAATGCTGAAACCCAGGCCTGGGAGGGGCAGAGGGACTGTCCAGGGCCACCCTTGGGGAAGGACAAAGCTTCGAAAGGGCCAGTGCTGCTTCTCCGGGGAGGCTGTGCCAGGGCAGCCGGGCCCAGGTGGGGTCTGGGAGAGACTGCCCTCCAGGTCTTCTCTGCGGGCTCTGAGGGACCCTCTGGGAAGAGCTGCTGAGCAGAGCAGGCAAACACATGGGGGGTCTTTCCCCCCAGCCTCAGGCCAGAGCTGAGAGGTCAGGGGCAAGGGGATGGGAGGCAAGGATCCTGAAGTGCACTGACTGGGGACTCCCACGGGGACAGGAAACAAGAGGGACCCAAGTCCAGCTGTGGGACTCGCCCCTAGATGGATCGTGTGCCCATCGAACCACAGCCCACGGCACGTTTCCCTGGGGACCTGCCCGCACCCCTGACAGGCCTGGGGCGGGGCAGGCTCTGGGTGAGGGGCTGGGAAAGGTACCAGGATGCGGGGGACGCGGGGGACGCGGGGGAGGGGGATGGTCTCCGGAACGCGGCTCCGGACACAACCTTTGCCTCCCTGCGGCCTCGGGGATCCCCTTACACCCAATGAGCCCGGGGGTGGGGGGCGCGACCAGCCAAGAACGAGTGGGGACGCAGGGGCCCGCGACTGAGGTGCAGGAGCCCCGCCCCAGTCCGGAAACCTCTGAGGCCCCGAGTCGTGCGGGGCGCTCCCCACTTCACCCCACCCCGCCGCCTCTGCCGTCACTCACGGCCTCTGCTCCCTGGCTCTGTGCGCTCCCGGCGCCGCGGGCACCGCTCCGCCGGCTCACTTCCCGCTCACACACTGCAGACTCCGGCGTCGCTGCCGTCGCCCGGCCTGGTCCCCGGACCCGCAGAGCGCTCCGCCTTCCCCGGGCCTCGGGGGCCACCCGCCCGCCATGGCCTGGGCCTGGGACAGAGAGCGCCGCGGCTCCAGCCCGGGGTAAGTAGTTAAGGGTGGGGGTCTGCGGAGAAGGCCGCGGGACAGGGGCGAGCAGGGATGCGCGGCCGTCTCCGGCGATGGAGATTGGGAAGAAGCCAGGGAGAGTTTGGGTGGGAGGACCCCCAGCCTTAGCGGGTGTGGGGCGGGGCTGCTCTCCGACCGGAGAGACTGTGGTTCCAGCGAGCGACCCCCGCGGGGGGCGGGGGGGGGCTCTCCGGGGCGGGGGCGGGGCCGGCTGTACGAGGCGAGGGGAGGGCGGGGTGATGCAGCGAGGAGGCGGCTCAGCCGCTGACCGCCCCTCCCTCCCCCTCCCCTCCCCCTCCCCCTGCCTCTCTCCGGCTCTGGGTCCACCGCGCCGGACCCGCTCTCCCTGCGCTGCACCGGGTCGGACGCCAGGTCTGCGCGCGGCGGCTGAGCGCCCACTCGCCTTTCGGAACGAGCCTCGGAGGCACCGGCGGGGGCGGGGGCGGCGACGGGAGAGCTCGGCGGGAGCCGGAGGAGGTGGCAGCCGGGAGCCAGACCAGAAGGAGCCTGGGAGGCAGGATTCTGCTTGCGGCTCCGAGGCGCGCGCTCCCTTGGCCGGGGATGGGTCCCGGCGCGGCCCAGCCCCTGCCCGGCCCGCCGGGCAGAGAGTGATCTGCGGTTCCCCATCGTCCAGTGGACGCCGGGATAGAGGGGGGTACCGACCGATCGCCAGTAGCCTCCAGGCGGGACCTCGCCTTCTGCGCACCACGCGCAGCGCCCCCCGCCGGATCCGCGCCGGGCAAGGGGGCGAGGGAGCGGGGCTGATTGGAGGCTGCTGGCGGCCGGGGGAGGGGGCGCCGCGCGGGGCCATGGCTGGTTCCGAGGCGTCTTAGCCCGAACCCCAGCCGGATCCGAGCCCACGCCGCCGCCATCGCCGCCTCTCCGCGCCCGGGCCGCCGCGCCCCCCGCGGGAGATGGAACAGCGGAACCAGCTCGGCGCCCTCGGATACCTGCCGCCACTGTGGCTGCTCGCCCTGCTGCTCCTCGTGGCCGACGGTGAGCGCGGGAACTTTGCTGCCGTGGGGTCTCCCGGGGTCCTTGCCAGGGCCGCCAGGGCCAGCCTGCCCCGGTCGCCGCGGAGGAGGACAAGAAGGGGAAGGCTTCGCGCTCTTCAGCAATCCCGGCTGCGGCCCGGGTCCGCAGGGGTAGGGGGAAGAGCAGCGAAGGGTCGCCACCGCGGCGGCGCCCGAGTCACTCGGAGCGGGACCGGGCTCCGGCTGCGGAGAGGCGGCCTGTGGGGCGCGGGAGTTGGACGCCCCGGCCCAGCTCCGGTAGTGCGAAGGGCACGCGTGAGAACCGCGAGCCTCTCGTGGTGCCCGGCCCACCGGCGGGAAGCCGCCTGCGTCGGTAGCCGGTCTGTGCGGCGCCCGGCAGCTGCTTCAGTGAACTTTGCTGGCGCCTGGGTGGGAAGTACAAGGCCAGCGAGCCGGGGCTGAGTGTTTCGCCTCGGGTTCCCCAGGCCCCCGCCCCACAGCTGGTCACGCCTCTCTCTTCCCCGCCCCCAGCTACATTTACCGAAGTCCCCAAAGATGTGACAGTACAGGAGGGAGACGACATCGAAATGCCCTGTGCATTCCGGGCTGGCGGGGCCACCTCGTATTCCCTGGAGATTCAGTGGTGGTACCTGAAGGGGTCGCCCCGCGAGCTGCTGCACGAACTGGCGCTCAGCGTGCCCGGCGCCCGGAGCAAGGTAACCGCCCCTCGGGCCCTGGCGGCGGGGTCACCGGCGGTAAGCAGAGGTGCGCCCTTTGGCCGCAGCCCATCTCCCACCCTCCCCAACCCCTGGCCTCTTCAACAACAGCATTCGTTACCCCCAAATCCTGTTCATTCATTCCCTGCTCCTGCAACCTCCCGGGAGTCCACACCTAGCCCCTAAAAAGCCACACCTCATCCAGTTGGCCTGCTCCTGCTGGCTGGCTGTGGGCCCAGAGTCTGAGGGGTGCTGTCTGGTGCAGGAAGACCCCTGGTCCACTGGGCTTTCCTGCCCCTGCCACTCTGAGGTCCCCAGGGCACTGGGCCAAAGAGTTAAGCTCCTCTGGGCCTGGATTCCAGAGGCAAACAGAGCACTGGGCACAGGGAGCCCCCAGATCGCCTCCGGTGCCCACAGGATCAGAGGGAGGGCCCCAGAGCCCCCACATCCACTGGCTCCTACTATACTCTAGCACACGAAGGAGCGTGCGTGCACACACCCACCCTCACACACACCTCCCCTCCACCCAGCATCCCCCCTGGAGTTCCTGCTCACGTTCTCCCACTGAATCCCATCCAGATACACTGGCCCCTCCATCCAGGTTTCCACACACGCGGCAGGAAAGGGGACGCTCCAAGCGGTGGAGAGGGCCTTCCTTCCCAGCTGGTGGCGTCCCCGCCTCCCTTCTTTGGCTGGCAGATGTGCTAGGGCAGCCCTTCCTTGGCCAGGCACCAGCTTAACCGCAGCCCTGCTTCCTTCCGGTCCCACTCCTGGAAATCCCGACATCCTCCCCGCACTCAGTCCCGGCCACATCCAAGAGGTTTCGGGTCCCAGCCCACCTGCGGAGGGTCCCCTCGGCGGGGGCGCATCTGAGTTCCCAGAGCCTGAAGGCCGAGAGCCTCATGTCTCCCTCTCTCCCTCTTTGCATTTTAGGTAACAAATAAGGATGCAACTAAAATCAGCGTAAGTGTGGAACCCAGAGCGGGCCGCGGGAGACCCCTTCTGGCTGCTTCACGCCCTGCAGCTTCCTCCCTGTTAGAAAGGCCCCGCGGCCGTGCAGTGCGGGGACCTCGCAGGCTCGCATTGGCGGCTGCTGTGTCCCGGCCCCACCTGTCGCCAGTAGTGGGATCGGTTTCTCTTTTATATAAATAGAGGGTCCCCATGCTTGAATCGTCTTCCTCCCGTCTGCGCTCACCTGTAAAATTCTCCTTCATCCTTGGCCCGCTCAGGCCCTGCAGTCTGTCTGCATCTCCTCCAGGGCATTTCTTCCCGCACCTGGGGCGCTGCTCCTCACCCTCGCAAGACCCTGCTCTGGCTGGTGGGCCCCACCCCCACCCCACACACACCTGGGAACTCGCCTGCAGCTCTCTCCTCCACCTGGGCTTCAGTGCCAGGTGTTGTGGAGGGTGTGGGGGGCAGTCTCCCAGGCTCTCGGAGCCGAGGTCATGGGTTTGTAACTCAGGGAGGAGATACACCCAAGCTTGCCCAGCGGGCATGTGCACATATCAGGGCCTGGAGGCTACCAGGTTCAGAGGTGAGGGTTCCCTGGGTACAAGGTGAGGGCCTCGAATCGGGTGCTTCCCCATGTCCTCACCAGGCCACAGGGGTGGGGGGTGAGCGCTTTGCTGCTGGGCGCTTGGGGCCGATCTGGAGAAGGTCAGTTTCATAAGTAGCAGGCGGCCAAGGAGCCCAGCAGCATCCTCGGCGTCTCCTGCCTCCTGGGGAGGGTGCGGGGCTATGTCGGTCTAGTGTCCTCTGAGGGCGGGGTGTCGTTCCTGCAGACACCACTCAGGCTCAGGCCCGCCAGATGCTGGAATAAAGAAATGTTAGTGTGAGTGGATGTGGGGGTGGGACTGAAGGCCATGGTCAGAGCCCACGCTGTCTGTTGCCCTCCTGGTGAGGCGTCGGGTTAAGATGATGGGGAACTGGGGACAGATGCGATGGGCAGGGCCGCCCTGGGTCCAGTCAGAGTGGGGAGCCCCATGTCACGGGAGACAGGGCGGAAGGAAACCTGGGTGATGGTGATACCTCGTGGCAGACGGGGTTCTGTGGCTTGGGTGTGCAATGGCGGGGCGGGCAGCCCGCCGTCCCCATCTCTGACGCAGCCCTGCGCTCTTGCAGACCGTGCGCGTCCAGGGCAACGACATCTCGCACCGGCTGCGGCTGTCCGCCGTGCGGCGGCAGGACGAGGGCGTGTACGAGTGCCGCGTGTCCGACTACAGCGACGACGACACGCAGGAGCACAAGGCCCAGGCGCTGCTGCGCGTGCTCTCGCGCTTCGCGCCGCCCCACGTGCAGGCCGCCGAGGCCGTGTCGCACATCCAGAGCAGCGGCCCGCGGCGGCACGGCCCCGCCTCCGGCGCCAACCACGTGGGCGCCCCCAGCGCCACGGGCCGCCCCACGTCTGAGCCCAGCCACGGAAACAAGAACCGGTCTCCCGGGAGCCCTCTCGCCGCCCCTGGCCCCAGAGTTGCCGAGGCGGCTGCTGCTGCCGAGGCCCACACGGCCACCACCACCGTGGCTGCGGCCGCGGCTTCCTCAGCGTCACCGCCCAGCCAGGCGGTCCTGCTGCGCCAGAGGCACGGCTCGGGTAAGAGGGGCGCGAGGGAGGGGCGGGCGGGGGGGTGCTGAGCTCAGGGCCGGCTCTGGGGTCATTTGCACATGCGTCCTCATGGTAGTTGGTAACCTGGGTGCCCCGTGACGTGTGTTGGGCAGTCTCGAAGGGGCTCTCTTCGCCGTGTTCCTGTCTTTCCTGTTGGCTGCTGTACGCGCTTACAACATGGACTTGTGGATGTTGGGCCTGAGGTGTGGGGAGCCCTCTCTGGGACGCAGGCTGTGTGCGTCTGGATGCCGCCTGACTCTGCTGGCTGACTCTGTCCAAGCAGCATGGATGGGCCTGGCTAGGTAGCCTCTGCTGTCTTTGTGGAGGTCCCGGATGGTCCTGGACACCGCGGGGCTGGCCACTCGGGAGGAGAGGCTGCTGGCGGCAGTGGGGGTGAGGGAGGCTTGGCACACAACTTCCCAGGGTGCCCCCCACTCCCTCCACCACTCAAAGACGGACCTCAGAGCTGTGCTCAGCTTAGTGTTCACTCCCTGTGTCTGACTTCAGGCCAGCCATGCCCCCTCTGAACCCAGTGCTCGGCTGTGTTTGGCACCTAGTCGGCATCTCCCCAGCCTTGCAGCACGGGGGGGTCGGGCTCTGGGCAGCACATGAACCTTCCCAGTGGATGGAGCACCTGCGGCCCTGCCCTCCTGGTTCCCAGAGTGCAGTCTGCCTGCTGCCCGCATTGGAGTGTGTTGAGGAAGCGGCTCGGGGTGCTCCTGCTGGGGCTGCGGTGATGGACAGCCTAGCCTGCCTCCCTGGCTGACTCTCCAGCCTTCCAACAGTTGGGACCCTGACATTCTGTCTTCCACATCAGTTCGGTTGTTTCTTACTCGCTTCTCACTCAGTGTACCCCCCTGCGGGGCCTCTCTGTGTTGGTGAGGATGCTGGCTGCATTTGGAGGCCATGTCTCTGTCCGGTGCCACACGGGAACCCACAAGGCTTTCCCCCAGGCTAAGGGCGAAGGTGAATCCGCTGGGGTCTGTGCCGGGCCAGGCTCCACCAGCTGACTCGGAACCTTCTATCCTCAGTATTAGTTTAGGATAACACTAGCTGCTGTGACAAATGAACCCCAACATACTAGTGGCTTAACACAAATCAAGGGTATTGTTTCTGGTTCACCCCAAGTTCTGCTCCGGACCGGGGCATGTGGTGGCTCTGTTCCATGCGGTCATTCAGGGACCCAGGCTGACAGAGACTTTACCGTCGTCAACAGTGGCTTCCGGGGTCACTCTGGGCACCGACATGCAACCAACAGATGAACACACTTGCCAGAGAGAACCTCGTGCCAGTGCTCAGATGCTACATTGTATACAATTTAGTGGCTTCTTCCTTAGGCATTTGGAAATATTCTAAGCATGTATCATTCTCAGAAGATGGAGAAAATGGCCACTACAGTCATTTTGGTAGGGTTGCATTCTTGCAGAGAAAAGTTGGTGTAGAGAATGGCAAGGCAAGTTTTTAAGAAGTGGTAGATGTTACTTCTACCCAGTTCATTGGCCAGAACATAGTCACCCAGCCACAAGGCAGGCTGGGAAATGTAGTCCTCAGCTTTTCCCAGCGGAACGGCCTGTGACTCTTCCGATAAGTTAGCCGTCTCCCACGGGCACGCAGCAGGTGTACTGAAAAGTGCACATGGGCTTGCAGAGCGGTTAGCTTGCTTCCATGGGGCCACGTCCGCGAGCAGCACTCGGTCCTGTGGCGCGTTCTTGGGGTGCAGCAAGCCAGCCTGTCGCCCAGAGCCCCCAGCAGCCAGAGCCAGAGGGGGAGCTCCAGTCCGGCAACCTCAGGCTTGGCCTCCTGAGCTCACAGTTCAGAGCAGCTGAGAGGGGAGGGGACCAGGAGGGGCTGCTGCCACTTGGTTTACAGGCAAGAGTGTTTGCCGAGTGTGTCCGTCAGGGTGCTGGTAAAGCAGATAGTGCACTCGAACAGGGCCAGAGGGGAGCTAGCCTTTCAAGGTGTGGACAAAGTTAGGGTGGCCAGAGATGGACGAGTGTGTCCCCAGGGCCCGCAGCTACCGGGTCCCTGGGAGCAAGGGGAGGAAGCAGTCAGCAGAACCCAGTCTGAAGGAGCCATGGCCTTAGTGGAGGGACACGGTCAACCCCCGGTGGCCCAGCAAGGGCCTCACTGTCCTCCTGCCCTCCAGCTTCCCGTCAGGGCCTCCCACTGGGGACTGGACACCTGGGGTGCAGCCTCCAGGTCTCAAGGCAGAGTGGGGGAACGTGGATGGTGGATCTAGGGGCGCAAAGGGAATACCCCAGCTCTCAGAGGGCAGGGATGGAGTCCACCCCATCCGACTTCTGGACAAACCTGGAGCTGAGTCTCTAGTGAACAAGGTGGCCACAGGCCTGGCTCAGGGGGACACTCAGGCTTTGTCAGATTGGCAGCTTCAGGGCAGCCCCGGCCCCACCCCCCAGACAGTCACCCTTAAGCGCTTGCTCCTGGAAGGAAGTCAGACGCCCCAACAAGACCAGGTGGCTCTGTTTCTAAGTGAGCTGCTGTGGCAATGCCAGGTCGGAGTGGGGGTGTGGGGGGAGTGGACGTGACTCCCCCCTTCAGCTTCTGCACTGAAGGCCAGGAAACCCTTTCTGTGCCCCCGATGTGCCCCAAGCAGTCAGATACATATTTTGCACTAAAAGTTTATATGCAAACACTCATTCATTTCACATCTCATGTGTCAAGAGAGATTCTGATATTTGTACTCAGAAATAACAGGGGCTGAATTAGCAGCGCCAGCTCAGGAGACCGGGCCCCTTCTCAGCCACGTGCGTCCATCTGCCTCCTAATTAATCTGCATGTTGACCCATTTTTCGTGAGCACTTTGTTGCTGGTTGCCATTTCTAGAAAAAAAAAAAAAAAGAAGAAGAAGAAACAAACCCTGGAAAGCCGGGAAAGGCGCCGAGGCCAAGCCCAGGTCCGCCTCAGAAGACGACCGTTTGCAACTGAACCGCTGAAGTGTTGGCAAGAAGTTCCCCTCTGCAAGGGGCCCAGGGCTCAGATCTGTGGCCTGTGAACCTCTAATTAGCCCCGGGGCTGTGCTCCCAGGAGAGGTGCCCGGCGCCCACGGAGAGCCGGCTGAGTGTGGCGCATGGCTCCTGGTGCCCCCACGGAGAGCCGGCTCCGTGTTTCAGTGAACACAGAGAAAGCCAGGGCCACGGGGTGCTGGCGTGAGAGAGGCTGCTACCGCTGAGAGCCATTGAGAGGATGTCGCCATGGCAACGGTAAACCATGAGCCAAGGGGCCTCTGGCGAGGTGAAGGCACTCGCTCGTCACCCATGCCCTCAGTGGTGGCAGAGCTGGTGGAGTGGGGACAGGCGCCGTCACCTGGGCTCTTCATATGCCTGGACCTGCAGGGACTCGAAAACCACCGCCTTAACTCAACAGCCCACTCTTCCCTCGAGCTCTGATGTGACCGGAGGGTCACCGGGAAGGAGAAATCCGGCAGAAGTTGCTCCGGGGGGTGGGGGGGGGGGCTCTCTGAGCATCTGGAAGAGCAAAGGAAAGGATTTCATCAGGAAATGGCCAAGCCTCCCGGCTGGCACGAGGCGCTGGCGCCCTCCTTGACCGCGGCCGTGCGGGCGGTTCGCGGCCACCTGCCAGCCTCTCGTCAGCTGGTCACGCGACTGTCCCGGGTGGAACCAGTGGTGGTGGCCGCGCAGCCAGCCCTGGAGCATCAGGGCACCCCCGGATTCCTGGACACAGCCGTCTGTGTCCAAGCAGGGATCGCCCTTCTAGCTGAGGCAATCAGGGGAGGCTTCCTGTAGCTGGTGTGTGAATTCAGGGGCCTTGGTCTGCCTGCCGAGGTCAGTCCTGGGGAAGCTTCGAAAGGCCTCGCATTCCCTCCGCACACCGTGCCTCGTGGAATGAGACAGTCCCACCAAGTGCAGCGAGTGGCCTGTGTCCGTCACTGAGTGGCCGTCTCTCGGCAGCAGGGCGCCCCAGCCCGAGGACAGAGCAGCACTGGACTGTAGCGATGGTGAGCACGAATGCAGAACCTGCCTTTTACTGAACACTCACCAGGTGCCACGTGTGTGTCTCAGGGTTCCCTGCTCTGCGGTTCTGCCTCGCTCCCTGCCTCACTTCAGGCCCTTTGCTCCCAGAGCCCAGGCCCCTCCCCAGCAGGTGACAGCCCCCACGAGGAGAGGAGAACACCAGCCTTCCTAAATGTCACCAGGAGCCAACCCCAGCACGAAGCTTCTCATTAAATCCACCGGGTGGGTTGAAACATCCATGTTTCCAAAGCGCCGAAGGCTTCCCCACGCCTCCGTGGGGATAACCGAGGTCAGGTGCCTTTGGGGTCCGATACTGATCAGCTCTGCGCCTTGCGGACAGAGTCCGGGACGCGGCTGCGGCCTAAACCCCTGAGCTCTGTGGGAGATGCCGGCTCGGGTTAGGCACGTTGGCGGCGGAGGGGGAGGTCATCTCTTCTGCCCCCGTGCTCTGCTCTTACGAGGCATCTCTTGGAGACTCTTGTCCAAAGCAGTGAGGAGCTTGCTTTGATCTGTTGTAAGGTGACTGTCGGTAAAGGGGCTGTTGGCACCCTGGCATGTGCGGGGACAAAGCGGGAGGAAGATCATCCTGGGAGGTGCCGGGAGCCTTCGTGGGCTGCGGGCAGTCGGCCAGGATCCTACTGGCCATCTGCCGCCCTCCACACCCCATGGGAGCCTGCCTCCCACCCAGCACAGAGCCCGGATCTCCCAGGAAGGGGGCCTCAGGGAGAAGGTCCCGGGGGTGACATGGCACAGGCTGCCTTGGCCCAGAATTCCATGCCAGCCATTCCTGCCAGCAGTCCGAGCCCCAGGGGGATGTTGGCACGAGAGACCCCAATCAGTCCCCAGCCTGCCCCTGCTCCCCAGCCCTCTGCCTTCAGAGGGACCCACCAGCACTCTCTGGCAAGGACGGGAACAAGGGGCCCTCCCTCTGCTGGACACTGGGCATGCAGGGGGGTGCAGCCAGGCCATTCTGATTATTATTATTGTACACGTAGAAGTTAGCGTAGATATATTTTTTCAAGCAGTTAACCAATTAAATCTCCAGGTGGGCAGATGAATCACTGTATCCACATTAAAAACTAATGTAACAGAAATATGCAAGGCAATAATTCATAATGCGGCCTGGTCACAGAGTCCTGTCGTAACGCGTGGCAGGTCCCAGGCAGCTCCTCGGTGCTAATTTTATTTAATGAGCACATGTTATAGAATTTCCGGAGCAGCGTCCCTGGGCAATTAAAACGTGTTAACCTTTTCAGTGAAACAGTGTTTCTAAAGGCAAGTCCTCAGTGTGGAAGAGGAAGAGAGACCCAGGCTCTCTGGAGGCGGACGCTGGAGGAAAGAGCTGTTGCGCCCTGGTCTCTGGGCATGCTGGCCCCCCCGTCCCCAGACCTCGGGCCCCTGCCGTCATTCCTGCCTTTGCTCGGCCAGGCCCTGCACTGCTGAACTGGGGCCATGCATGGGGGAGGGGGTGCAGCCAGGAATGGCTAAGAGAACCTGGGTGCAGTGCTGACCTCTGCCCCACCCACCCAGCACCCAGGCTCCTCCCACTGCCTGGTCACAGAGGGCATCACCCCCGTGGACACCTCCCACCAGGAGGTTTGTCTTCGAACCCAGGGCCCAGCTGCCTACGACTGGGGTGGGACGGGCCGCAGGTGGGATCAGCCGGGACCGAGGGGCTCACATCTCGTCCGCGGCCTGCCCCCCGCCTGCCCCACTCGACTGCCCCCTCGAACATCTCCATTTGCTTCGCACCCAACGGCAGTTGTTCCGAGTCTTCGCCCTAGTTACCGGCGCACATTAATTTTACGGCAGAAATTAATTCTACCCGATTCCGTGAGCTCGCGTATTCCTCGCTGACTCCCTCTGAATAAATACCCATGAAGAGGCTTTAATTAAAACAGCAGCAAGGGAAGCGGCGTCCTCCAAGGTGACGTCTTCCCAGTCAGCTGCGGCCGGGCCACCTGGCCTGCCTGGCGCGGCGTCCTGGACGTCGGGGTGAGGAGCACGGCCCCACATCGGCACACAGCGATGTGGGGACCATGGGGGACAGAACCCTGGCCTCCCGGGTCCTGCCAGAGCTGGCTCTGCGACGGCCAGCTCAGACGGCCACCTGGGCTGGGCTGGACGGCAGACTGGACAGAGCGGCTGGGCGGTGCCTGGCAGCCACCCCGGCCCACGTCGCGGAGGAGCAGTGGCCGCTGGTGTGTGGCCCATGAGCAGGGCCCAGGGGCTGGGTCTCAGGCCTTTCCCGACGGCACCGGCTTGGGGCGTTTACGTGAAAGTCTCCTGAGTTCTAGTGCTTGGGCATGATTCACAGCCTCTGAAACTGTGCCCCAAGCCAGACCCTTCTGCAGGCTCCAGTCCTCCGGCCGCGGCCCCTTTGCCTTGGGCTCTGTCGGGACGATGTTTTGTGTCCCCTGAGGCAGGGGCAGGGAGAGTGGGGAGTGGGGAGGGGTCAGCCTCAGGAGAGCCCCGACACTGCCCCTGGCTCTTGTGGGGCTCCTGGACCTTACCCATGTCCCCAGATGAAAGGACGGTGGCTGACCAGGGCCTGACTCTTTTTCTTTTTCTTTATTGATTTTAGAGAGAGAGGAAGGGAGAGAGAGATAGAAACATCGATGAGAGAGAACATCGATTGGCCGCCTCCTGCATGCCCCACACTGGGGATCAGGCCCACAACCTGGGCATGTGCCCTGACCGGGAATTGAACCGGCGACCTCTTGGTGCAGGGTCAGTGCCCAACCACTGGGTCACACCGTGCGGGCTATGGCCTGACTCCTATGTGCCCTCTCTGCTCGACTCCACAAGCCCCTGCCGACCTAGAAAGGGCCCCAGGAAGTGCCAAGAGGGAGCCTTCTCCGTGGAGGGGCTTGGCTGCCCTACGACATACGCACAGCGTGGTCCCAGAGTGAGCCGGGAAAGGCCAGGGCAGGAGGGGGCAGGATGGGACAGGCCAGGACAGGCTGGGGCAGGACGGGGCGGGCCGGGCCGGGACGGGGCAGGCTGGGACAGGCCGGGGCAGGAGGGGCAGGACAGGGCAGGCCGGGGCAGGACGCGGCAGGACGGGACAGGCCGGGACAGGACGGGGAAGGACGGGGCAGGACGGGGAAGGACGGGACAGGACGGGAAAGGACGGGACAGGACGGGGAAGGACGGGACAGGACGGGGAAGGACGGGACAGGACGGGGCAGGACGCGGCAGGACGGGACAGGACGGGGAAGGACGGGGCAGGCCGGGGAAGGACGGGGCAGGACGGGGCAGGCCGGGGCAGGACGGGATAGGACGGGGAAGGACGGGGCAGGCCGGGGCAGGACGGGGAAGGACGGGACAGGACGGGGCAGGACGTGTTGGGAACAGGGGTAAGAGTCAGTCTGTGCCCAGTACCTGCAGGCAGACAGGCCTCCGTGCTCATGCTAAGTGGGTGTCCAGGTGCAGCCCAGAAGGCCAGCCGAGCTCATGTTGACAGTGGAGTCCGGCCCTCTCCCCTCCCCCAGACGCATCGAGAGGGGGACTGACCCGCCTCCACCAATTCGTGATTTCCGAGCTCCCCACTTCGACCCCAAGCGCTGGACTGGCACCGAAACATCAAGATGCCTGAAACAGGGCACTAGCGAGTGCCAAGCTGTGCAGTTCAGGCAGGAGTTGGAGGGGCTGGCGTTGTGTGCAATCATGGAGTCTTCCTGGAGGGGGGGGGGGCCTTAAATGCCGAGGGCACTTTGCAGCATGGTACTGGGGACAGGAGTTGGAGAGGGACCACACTGTCTTTTTACTCAGAGAAAATAATGACCTGGACGACATCTCCAGTGTAGCAGGCGCTGGGACAGCAGCGCCGGGCAGTCCGTCCAGACGGCCCCAGGCCGCGTGGTTTCATGGGCTGTCCACTCACAGGCACTAGGAGCTCGTGAGTCAGGCGTCCACCGGCTGTTTTCTCGTCCCCTGCAGGCACCAGCCCCACCTACACCACAGACCCGGCCCTGTCCCTGCTCCTCTTAGCTCTGCATCAGTTCCTCGGCCTGCTGGTGGGGCACTGACTGCCGCTCCGCCCTCCGCCCCGCACCCCTCCGCGGGGCCACACCGCCTGCCCAGACCGGGGGTGAGGACCGCGTCGCCGGTGGACACAGCGAGACTGAGAGAAGCATGACAAAGTCCATGTGGAAAGCAAATCAATCATATTTGGGGGGAAGTTACACAAAGGTAGAACACCGGAAACAACGCCTCATGTCCAGACGACTCGGAGGCTGGCCCGTGCCCGGTGCCCGGTGCCCGGTGCCCGGTGCCCGGCCCGTGATTCTCTGCTTCTGTGAGCTTTTCCTTCCTCCGCGTCACCTCCAGGTCTTCATTTTGCACGAACTGCTGAGCCGCGACCTTGAGGATGCGATGTCAGAGCCTTGGGTCGCAGCCTCTCTGACAAAGCAAAATATTTTTAGTAGATTACTGTGTTTAGAGATTTTTTTTTTTAATTTACTTCTTTTCGTTGGGCTTCCCTTTTTAATTAAATTATTCCTTTTGAGACGTTTTGATTAAAAGAAGATACATCTTATCATAATTAAAATTCACTGTCAATAATATTTATTTTTAAATAAACATTGGAAACAAGGTCAGACACTTGTTTATACACGGTTGTATATTGCTGGATGACAGTTGAATAAAAAACGACTTTGAAATAAGCTTTCTACGGGCATGGATGAATGGGAGGCCTCTGGCGGGTGCAGCCCGGAGGCTGTGTCCTCCTGCACCCTGACGCCAGCTGTACCCTCAGCTGGAGGACAGCCCAGGGCACCTGGCCACGGCCACACAGCAGACCGGGGTGCTCACCCAGCCTCCCCTGGGGACAGGGGACCTCCAGGAGCAGGGGTGACAGGAGCCCCAGCCCAGGTCCTGAACAAGAGAATTCTCTGGGAAGAGGAGTGATATTAACCGTCAGCCTTTCTGCTTGTGGTTCAACCAGCCCATTTGCCCACCTGGAGACTTTCTGCCCAAGTAGTATTTGCTATCACTGGAGTCACTGAGGGGACGTTTGGGGACAAGATGGGGCGTTCCACACTCTTTCTCAGAGCATCTGGAGGTTGCTTTGAGCCTCTGAAATACATATGTTGGGGGCAGGTCACACATGTCTTAAAGAAACAGAAACGCCTGGAGACTTATTCCTTATTCCCTGACAGGATGGCATTAAATGCCCAGATCTCTTGGATTTGTTCAAAGCCCAGACGGTTTTAATATTTTTTTTTCTTTATTGATTTTTAGAGAGAGGGGAAGGGAGAAGGAGAGAGAGATAGAAACATTGATGAGAGAGAACATCGACTGGCTGCCTCCTGCATGCCCCCCACTGGGGATCAGGCCCACAACCTGGGCATGTGTCCTGACCGGGAATCAAACCGGCGACCTCTTGGTACAGGGTGGACGCTCGACCCCTGAGCCACACCGGCCGGACCAAACCCAGCTGGTTTTAAATCAGTGTGCCTGTCACTGATGTTGCTGTCTGATACCTCCGTGTCTCTGCTGGCCGGTTCAGGGTTAGGACTCTGCTTCTGGCGTCCGCGTAACCAGCTCTGGCCAGAGAGCTGTGCACTGGGCATCGCATTGCTAGTCTGAACCCGGACTGGCCACGTTCCACGCAGTAACCCTGGGCCGGCCGGAGTCTCCGTTTCCCAACGTGCAGAGCCTCTCCTGCTGGCCGGCACTGGAACTGCACCACGATGGGGACCCAGCCCTGGCTGTGCTGGGGGGCAGCTCATTCTTGTGGCATCGCTCAGCCCCGCCCCTCTGCTCCGGGGAGGACTCAGTGTGCCCTTATTTGGGAAGGAGAAAAGAGAAGCGGGTGTGGACCGTCCCACCGGCGGGACCCCCGTGCGGAGCGGCCGGCTGGGCGGCTGAACGGGGGCGGTCGCTGGCTGCTGTTTCTGGTGGATACATTAAGTTGTCTCACATTTCGCTCCTATCGATCAGCACCCGTCGAGCGGTGCCTTTAATCATTTCGTCTGGTGGCGAGTAGTGCTGTTCACAAGGATCATCTCTTTTTATAGTGAACTCAATACTGCAGCTACTGGCAACTCAGACACGGGCCCTCGTGCCTGAACGAGCCGGGCATCCGCGAGGCCAGGTGGACGGGAAACGGCGTCCCGTGATGGGCGGGTGTTGTGGTAGATCACTGCGGGCCGGGAGCTGGGGAGCCATCGCGCGCCACACACACCAGCACCCTTGCAGGCGGCTGTCAGCCTGCTTCTGCCCCGAAGACACTGGCCCTGGTGTGACGCTCACGGGGAGAGGAGGCCGGGTGGTCTGGGGAGCCGCTCTCCTGGGCTGCCCGTGTTCTGCACGGACGGGGGCACCTGGCACGCAGAGGGGCTAGCCTGTAGGTCTCCTCCTGGGGACCAGGGATTTCCGGGACGGAGGGGTGAGTGAGGTTGGGCAAGTTCCCTAAAGAGGAACTTAGCCCCCTGGAACAGAAGTGAATGGGAGTCAAACTGAGGCCGATGAGGAATTAGGGTCCCAGGAGGCCAGAGCAAATCCTTCAGACCCGGAGACCCCGCGGACCACCTCCCTGCTGGTTCAGAGCCTGGACTTGAAGGTGGGAGCAGGCAGGTGTGCACCTGCAGGTCTGTGAGCAGTGGTCACCAGGGTCCCCCACGCAGCTCTCTGAGGGCAGAGTGGGCAGCCTGCATGGGATGTGAGGGTACATACAAACCAGGAGGGACAGACCCCACACAAACAAAAACCATGGGTTCCAACGCACCACCCAAACACCCTTTCCTTTGGATTTTGTGTTGAGCCCAGGACAGACAGAAGTTCTAGGACAAGGTAGTTTATTCCATTTGGGACCAAGGCACGGTGGGTGATTCAGAATCACTGGTCCCAGCCTGTGAGGACCACCCCGCTGGCTTGAAGGGACTGTGGAACCAACATGAGAGCGGGGGGCAGGAGGGCAAACACCACCCCCGCTGCAGGCTGAGCCAGAGGCGGGTGCGGGGAGCCTGCTGGCGAGAGTGAGCCAGGCCCCACACCCACGGGAGGAGGCCCTGAATTCTACAGTGGTGCTACGTGGCGGTCGCTGGTTGATAGCCTCTCATGTTGGTGAACCACGAGGGTCCTTCAGGCACACGCGGCACCTGGCACCTACGAGACAGCAGCCTCCACACTTCCCCAGCCTGGCCACTCCTTGGTCCTCACCGTCCTGCCTCACGCAGGTGCGGTCTGTGAGCACCGCGGCCAACAGGTGCCCTCAGGAGCCTTCGCTGGGTCCGTCCATCCCACCCTGCAGCCTCCGACAGCGTGGCCACTGAAGGCCCAGGGGCAGCGGGCACGGCCGCTGTTCAGCACGCACAGGGCTGACCCCCGGGGAGCCAGGGGTGAACCAGACTCCCACCCCCAAGGCAAGGAATCGCTCTTTCGCAGAACACGCACACAGTTTTCGATTTAAGAACACCACGAAGACGTTCAATTGGGTTGTATCTAACCTGCGTTTCCTTTCTCTTGCAAACGTTGTGGGGTCGGTTTTTTTTCTGTGCTTTATTATTATTATTTTTTTAATAAATGATAGTATTCAAAATTTTCCATTTTGCTTGGAAAACGCTGCAGCGTGTCTACAACGCAGTCAGCCGACATGCTCGTATCTACACGACCGACTAATTCCCCATCCGGCTGTTCGCAGCTGAGCGTGTTCTTGCCCCTTCAGTACCAGGGGGCGTTGTACAGCTGCCAGTCCCCTCCGCTGACCCCGCGCCGCAACCCTCCAGGGGGAAGTTCCGATCCTGCCGCCACCACCTCCCCGGCTTCTCCAACCCGGCTCCCTGCACATGGGTGCGTCCCACCAGCTGCTCTCCAGAAGTGATGCCCACTAACTGGACTGCCAGTCCTGGAGGGGGGCTCTCCTTTATCAGCAAACCCTGGTTCCATTCGAGTGATGAACTGTCTTTAGAACCGCGGAGGCTCCGGACCAGGGCGACCACCGGGGAGGCCGCAGCCGCGCAGTTGGGATTCGGGGCTCTCCTGGGCGGGAGAAGCCAGATTACAAATGCACAGATAATTAATTCAAGTCAATACAGTGAGGGGTTCAGGCTGAGAGACATTCAATTATGTTGTTCAAAGAGAAGATGCTGATCTCCAGCCGGTCTGCTCCGTGTCGCACATACCAGAGTGGTTTTCATCTGTGCGGCGGTGAGGGGGGTTCCCCTGGAGCTGTGGGACCCTGTCGGGGGGGAAGCCGCGAGGATGTGGCTGCAGTGCTCCGGTCCCCCGTGGGGGACACTCAACCCAGCCAGCCGGGTTCCCTGTGTCAGCCTCTCAGCGCTGAGTGACGGTCTGTGCTAGACTAGTTGGTGCCGGATGGTCACCGAGGGATGGATGGATGGTTGGCTGGACAGATGGGTGGGTGCATATGGAGGCGGAGACAGAGACAGAAGTTTCCAAAGATGGTCAGACTCGTCCATCCCACCATAAACACGTTAGGGCTTTCAGATGTTGCCTTAGCCAGTAGCACAGAAAACCCCGGGGGAATTATTCACATCCACAAGGGATCACTTTAGAACTCCTTTAAGCAGCAGGCTCCGGTAGCACGTTTAAGATGTGGTTTGAGCCCTGGCCGGTTTGGCTCAGCGGTTAGAGCGTCCACCTGCGGTCCGGAGAGACCCGGGTTCGGTTCCCGCTAAGGGCACATACCTCGGTTGCAGTTTGTCCCCGGCCCTGGTTGGTCGTGCGGGTGGCAGCCACTCGATGTGTCCCTTTCACATCGATGTTTCCCTCTCTCTCTCTTCCCCTCCCTCCCTCCCACTCTGTCTGTACAAAAAATGGAAAAATGTCCTCGGATGAGGATTAAAAAAAAAAAAGATGTGGTTTGAATCCCACGTTGCTACCTGGAGGAAGAGACGTGAACACATGCTGAGGTCTGGAAGGTCCCATCTCTGTGACAGGTGGGTTCTGTGCACTTCAATGCCTGGCTGTAAGGTTTGACTTTTCTTTTTGGTGGTACGTGCCCCTAGCAAGAACCGAACCCGGGACTCTCTGGTCCACAGGCTGACGCTCAACCGCTGAGCCAAACTGGCCAGGGCAAGGTTTGACTTTTCTGTGATGA